AAACAGCCACAAAGGTCAGATTTTGTGAAGTGAATCACCATATCAACAACATGAGGTTCTCATCTTGCCAGGAAAAACAGCACAATACAGAACTGCCCTACTCTTGAAATAGTAACATTGAACTTGCCATGTTTTCACAAATCTGAGAACCATTTTTCAGCTTAAGAGGTTCAAACTCAACTTCCCAAAAAAAAMCAGTTGGTAAGGGTCACAACGTACCTTCTTTGTGTTTTTCAAAGGTATCTCATATCATTACATGGAGATAAACTATCCCATGAACCTTTACCAGTTGTGGTATACTGCTGATCTATTCTAGATAGATCTTAGTAGTATTATTATAATTTCCCTGAGAGTTTCAGTCAATAAGTTTCCTTAAAATCTGTAAACTTGACTCTTAATCTCATCATCTTGCATACTACCATAGTAAGGTGATTTTTAAGATACTTTGAAATTAATTTTATTAAAGATATTCCATGCCAATGCCTTTCTGTTAAGCACTTGCCACTAACTATATGAGGGAAATTAAAAGATCATAAATGAGCAAGATATTTGAAATTAAGTCTTTTCACATAAATTTGCAATGTGTATGAAAATAAGAATTATACTGTCTAGTGTCATATCCAGGGATAATATTTTTTTTTCTAAATGCTACCAGTTCTAAGTCTCAAAAGTACTATTCAAAAAGACCATCAAAAACCACTAATATTTCCCCTGTTACCGATTTCTTAACAGATTATCATCAGATGGATTACGGCTGTGATGATTAATGTTTTAGCCTAATGGAAGCAGAAGAACAAAATGGTAGAAAAATCCTAATTCTTTAGGAACTGACAAACGTTTTTAAACAAATCATATATAGAATTACTTGAAGGAGCAGTGTTGCCACAATTGTCTAAATTTTTGATCTTTCATGGTGCTATAGTTTGGTCATTGGCATTGAAGAGTAMGAAAAACATTTTTGAACTTGACAGTCAATTAAACAGTTAATTGTCTTCATAGTACAGCACAGAACTTCTGTTCAGCTCAGCTGCATGAACAGTCAATACAGGTCAGAATTGCAGTAATTTGGGAAAACAGTTCAAAGGTGTACAGATGGTATACCTATAATGTAAAAAAAAAAAAAACAACAAATAAGCAAACACACAAACAAACCCAACCCAAACCCAATATGAACATTAGTTTTTCAGAAGATTGAATTTTTTAGTGACAGCTTTATTTTAATTCATCAGATGTGTCTGGACAAATACACACCACCAAATACCACTCACAGAAACAGAAACATTATGATGAACATAACATCTTTGTATTGTTTTATTCAGACTTCCAGACACCCTTGCTAGATTGGATCTAAAAGGAAATGACATAGAAGATGTTGGAGAACAAGAGCTGAAGGACTTGAAACAACTTCAGGTTTTAAATTTACGGAACAACAAGATATCTGGCTTGGATCGCAGAGTCTTGGAGTATTTACCTCGTCTTCGGCATCTGTATTTAGATGGAAACCCTTGGAACTGCACCTGTGACCTTCTCAGAACCAGAAGAGCACTGGTGGCCAAAGGAACGGATGTCCGGGGAGGGCAGTGTGCAGCACCAGCACAAAGCCGAGGAGAAAGYTGGATGTCTTCCAAAAAGATTCTGCAGCAGTGTGAAGACAATCTGTCTTCCATGGAAACAGGCAAAGAGGACAGAAAGAAAATGAAACCAAATGAGACCTCCAGCATTGGAGTTAATACAGATGATGATTACTATGATTATGAATTAGATTAATGTCACGGTTTCTCTGTAGTGAACCTTAAAGCTGTTTAGAGCTGCCCACTGCCACCAGTGTCTCTACTGACAAGCAGTCTTCACATCTATCAGTAGCTTTTCCTGGCCTATTTGTACTACAAGAGGTAATAGCCAGTGATAGAAAGGCTACAGTAAGTATGCCATTGTGAACTGAATATTATTAAAAAAAAAGGTTTGTTTTTCTATGCCACTAGTACTATGTAGTTTGAGGGAAGCAGGAATACAATTACTGTCTCTTAGAAAAGAAGTTTGTAACTCTGTATGGATCTTTTTACAGTAGAACATTCTCATATTTGCATAAAACCCCCACAAAATAAAATTCTGCAATATCACAAGACACTGTTACTACGAGTCTGGCATTCAACAAATTTAAGCTCATGGGTCTGAAGGTCAACATGGAGAGTTACATTGATGTGAGCAGTTTCTTGGGATTGCTCAGAAATTCTTGCTTTTGAGAAATGGATTTCAGTTTTCCTGAAACATTTCCCTCATTTGTGTATTTTAGACTATTTTAAATGACATTAGACTAAATTAGCTGAGCTTCAGGCAAAATAYAAAAGGCTTATCTTCATCACAGCAAGTGAAACAAACAAGAATAAGWGTCCTGGTTAATGAGATTTAATACTAGTTCCAAAGTTAATTAATAGTGAGGAATGAAAACRCTGGAGTCAAGCTGGCCTGATTCTGTTGTTGTAAACAAAAGAAGGAAGATTCTCAGGAAACAGATCCTGGCAATTAGGATAAGATGAAGTGAGGTGAAGCTTTTTCAAGAGTTAATTTTGTTTTATGAATAGCTAATTGACTACAATATAGCTCAAGATGCCTTGTATACTTTTAGGTTAGGTGTACTTAATGTGCTAGTACACACTGCAAATGCCCCCTACACTGGCAGGAACTTTCCAGGCTTTTGCACACACAAAACACCCAACTTAATGCCACACAATTAAGGCATTAACTCTGATATATGTCCAARTTTTATCAAGCGGTTCCCAAAGTGCTTGAAAACTAAACAAGACTGGATTAGTGAGACCACTAAAACCAGTGACTTACAAACAGTAACTTAAGTTAGCTCATGATCTCAGGTGATAACTGATGAGTAATTACATCAGCAAATTACTTTTCAAAGCAAACAGTTTCTATTATTTTTTATCTTCCATTGGCATTCAGTAACTGAGTAATCACTCAACTCCACAAAGGCTGATTTGTCAGGTGTCAGAGTGCAGTTATTTGGTTATGTCTCCTATGCAAATGTGATTAACACTAGGGTTTCTTAGATACCCYAACACATTAAGTGACACAATTGGAATGGAGAGACTTAAGTTCATTTTCTTTACATTAACTTATCATCAGACTCTGGCARAGGGATCTGGACAAATTGGATCAATAGGCTGAGGTCAACCGTGAGAGACTGAACAAGGCCAGGTGCCCTTGGGTCACAACAATGCCCTGCAGCACTACAGGCTGGGGAAGAATGGCTGGAAAGCTGCCCAGCAGAAAARGGCCTGGGGGTGCTGCTCAACAGCTGGCTGGGTATGAGCCAGTGTGTRCCCAGGTGGCCAAGAAGGCAAATGGCATCTGGCCTGTATCAGCAATAGTGTGACCAGCAGCACCAGGGCAGTGATTGTCCCTCTATACTCAGCRCTGCTGAGGCSTCACCTCRAGTGCTGTGCTTATTTTTGGGCCCCTCACTACCAGAAAGACATKKWGGTGCTGGAGCATGTCCAGAGAAGAGCAATGGAACTGGTGAAGGGTCTGCAGAGTGAGTCCTGTGAGGAGAAGCTAAGGGAACTGGGTTTGTTAGCTTGGAGATTCCAGGGGGACCAGATCACTCTCTACAATTGCCTGAGAGGAGGAGGAGGTAGCAAGGTTGGGGTTGCTCTCTTTTCCAGGTAACAAGTGATAGCACCAGAGATGGCCTCAAGCTGCACCAGGGGAAGATTTAAATTGGATGAGACATTTCTTCATGGAAAGCACTGTCAAGCATTGGCACAGGCTTCCCAGGGAAGTGGTAGAATCATCACCCCTGAAAATGTTTTAAAGAGGTGGATATGGCACTTAAAGACATGATTAAGCAGTGGACTTGGCAGTGTTGGGTTTACAGTGGGAGCTGATAATCTTAGAGACCTTTTCCAACCTTCATGATTCTATGATTCTGTGGCCAGTCACCCAAATTGCTGGTAGTTAAACATTTAGACATTGATGAAGCAGCACAGGCCTTCCTTGCAGTTAGACTGTTATTTTTGCTGGCTAATACTGGTCTGTATTAATAAATCTGGTAAGTAGTTATTTTCTGACCAAGAGAAATATTTTTGTTACACAAAATTCTTCATTCAATTTTGTATTGGCAGATTCTTTTAACATCTCCGTGCCATCACAGCCCGCCCGTCTGACAGCATCGGGCTGGCATTAGCTCTTCCTTCATCTGTCACCTGCAGCGGCGTTTCCATCTTTGGACCTGTAGCTGTTACAAGCCAAGGTAGCGAAAGCCGGGGAGCCGCAGCTTTTGTGGGAGACTGCAAATGGAGGTGTGCAGCCCCGAGGCCTCGCTGTCTCGGTGCGGTTCGGGGCTGAACTACCGTGTATCCCGAGCCCACTCTGCGGAACCGTGAGGGGAGCACTCGCAGCGACTCTGAGAGTGCAGCCTGCAGCTCAGGGAAGACACCCGTGAGGCCCGGCTGCTTCTGTGGCGTTCAGAGGCTTCCTCCCCATACCCTCTGCGCTCCTCACACACCTGCGTGAACAAAGCGCTGCGGGAGCCAGGAAGACCAAAGCTGGGATGGGTCAGAGAAAGCGCCAGCACACGGGTCCCTGAAATAGCCGGGAGGTTGGGCAGCCTTGAGAGGCGGGGCCAGGAGCCCCGGAGCCCGGCAGCCGGGCAGCTCACGCCCCGTCCCRGCCCCRCCCCGCGCCTTCCCTCCCGCCCCGGCACTGCGGGGCTGTCGCCATCAGCGGCCGCCAGGGGGCGCGGCTCCGCCCTGGCACCGCCCCCTCCAGCGGGACAGCCCCGCCCCCGCCTCCTGGTCTGGCCCCGCCTCCTGGTCTGGCCCCGCCTCCTGGTCTGGCCCCGCCTCCTGGTCTGGCCCCGCCTCCTGGTCTGGCCCCGCCCACCCTCTCCCTGGTGGCCACGTCATTCGCGCTCCGCGGGCGGAAGTGGCGTCATCCGGCCCGGCGGCCAATGGGCGGCTGGCGTGTGGGGGGTTGAGAGGTTAAAGATCAGGCGGGGCGGCGGGATGATGGCGGCAGTGGCGGTTGCTGGGCGGGGGACGCGGGCTCCGTGAGGGGATGGCGAGGCGGGCGGCGCGCAGCGGCTGAGGCTCCCCCGCCGCTCCCCCGCGGGCCCCGCGCGCTCCTGTCGGTCGGTCCCATGAGCGGGGCGGGCGGTCTGGCGTGGCGCGCGCTGCACGCGCTGGTGCGCGCCTTGCTCTGCCTGCAGCGCGCGATCGTCGCGTGCCTGCGCGGCCGCGC